TTTTTTAAAAATTATTTCTCTATTTTATAAATCAATAATGTCTAGTAACCTGCTAAATAACAAGACGATTCAGCCGTCAAATTCGATTTTGTCCAATGCCGGAGTCCAGCGACAGTGTACAAACGTGCTCCGGTGACGGTGACGGTGACGACCACGGTGACTAGCTACACCAGACCGGACATATTTCGCATCTGACTCAACCCCATGCAACAAACTTGATACTATGTGTTCATTATGGTCCATTCTTCCTCGACGAACAAGTACATAAGTGGCAATTTAGTCAAAGACGAGAAAACAGCACAAGAAATTTGCCTTATTTACATGTATCGGCAATGCAAGCTGCCCAGCGACTTCCCTTTCTGACGTCACAAGGGGAATTTCTGTATGCAAATGAGAAGCTAATGAGGAGCCTCGTTTTAAAATACACAAAAATAAAGTTTCCGTAGACTGAGTTAAAAACACATTTTTTCACTTAAAAAAATTATTTATGCTTAGAAACATAAAAATTAATAATATTTATGTATCAATGGATAATTTTAGGTGTGAAAATAGCAGCCATTTCACAGGCACTTTAAATATTTGATTATGATGAGTTTATTATTTATGTGACAGACACTCACATAATTATCCAGTATATAACAATTAGCATGTTGTTAGCTGCAATCATAACTTAGTTATTCTGACTGGTTTAACTATTTGAACTTTAAAGTCATCTTTTGTCACCTTTTATGAATCTACAGTGGAAATGGTAGTGGATAATTTTGTCAGTTTGGGTCCAAATTAATTAAAATCATACAAAATATTTTAATGTGCAAAAGTTGGTGACGACTAGGCAGATGTTCATTTATTTATGTATTGTAAAGGCTTTTCATTATTTGATGCTGTGTTCTTTCTTGTGCATGCATTTTAATATCTCCTATAAGTGATAATTTGTGTCTTTAAAACTAATTTTCAACATATCAGTAGCTGATACAAAATTAGTCATTAATTTTATGCAAAAAATTAGATTTCCATGCTTGGCAGTGGTGACCTCATTAAAAGTGTTGAGTCCAGTATGATACATACAACGTGTGTTCTCAGCAATTTTCTATGTCCCTGTTGCAATGTACATGGTATGTGAACATCTCCTGCATTATTATACATCGGCATCACCATGTTCAGCTGACTTAATTTCAATACCATTATATTGATATTACTCTAAACATATTTATTTGATGTGTACATTAAGAACCAAAGGATCTTGTAAAAAAAAAATATTTTATATACAATTTAGTTATTTGCTATGTTGAATTTTAGTTATTTTTCAGTTGACAGGTAGTAACTATCTAAAGTAATGCGAAAAAATATTTTTTTTTTTAAATTTTGTTTTCTCTTGCAAGCTAAGCTGTAACAAAACTTTATTTTTTTTAATCAGTATTCTCATTCAGAAATGATTTGTATGTTTAATGTCGATGACACTTTTCTTGAAAAGGAAGATGTGATCCCCTACATGTTGAATGTGTGCAGTGTCGCTTTACAGCAAATATTATCAATGATAGGAAACTTGAGTTTAAGTAACCATTGTACTAAACAATGAAAATTTAACATTTTGCGCTGATTAATGTAAACCCCTGCCCAATCCAGCTTGAGGCAATCTTGAAACATTGGTGCTCAGAGCAGCCCAATAGTGTCTTGATAACTGACTGGGACTCTTCGCCGTTTGTTTCATTAGAAAGACGATACTAAAATCTACCAATTCTCCAAACATGGTGTGTCAGAAAAAATCGCAAATTATGTTATGAATGTAAGTGGAGATAACGAAACTACTCTCTGCTCCACGACCTCTGTTTTGCTGCTGTTGTTTCCGGTTACGTGATTACATCGAACCGATCGCGCATGCTCAATGACACCTACTTCGCATTGTACGGAGCAATATTTAATTCATAAAGTTTAAATTTGTTTACGCCCCTATTGAAAACTGCTATGCAGTTCTGTTGAAAGAAATTTTAAGACAAAAAAAATAAGCCTATTAACTGAACTGAAACAAAGGGTGTTTTAATCTTCTTTAATCGGTTCTTACTGGGGTTTGTAGTTCCATGGTACAACTGAAGTCTTCATATTATCAGTGCAATATGTTACATACTAAACTGTGAGCCAAGGTTTATTTGGCCACAATTTTTTCAATTAGCTAAATGAAAAAATACTGTGTATATATACCGTATATAAAAACCCCAGTGCTTGTGTGGTTTAATGATTCAATTTGCATGTAACCTTTTCCCATTCGTAGCCAAATGAACAAAATAAACGATCTTGAATGTTTTCTACAAACACTGACCATGTCATATTTTTAAAGCTACAAACACTGCCAGATTTCAAAAGTCTTCATTATTTGCCTTGATATTGTAATTTATTGTGAAGATTTTACATGCTATGGTTCTAACATATTGAAGAATAAGAATGTAATTTCTATGGTTTCAGATGTAGCAATTAACAGCAAGCATTTTTTTTTTATGTATATACTATGGGCTAAGAACACTTTACATGAATGATACAAAGCCCCACCCCACCTATTGGTGGTTATGAAATTTAGTTTCCTATATTGTCTTCCTAGTGTAATTTATATGAATGCTTCCAGTATATTTGTGAATTTTGTACTGTATGTCAATATCGTAATAAAGACACTTTACTTTACTAGCGCTGTATATGAATTTTTATGTTTTGGATGACCCCATACAGACACATTGTGACTGATGCCCAACACTCGCAACATAGAAAGCTTTATATCAATCATTTTAATATCAAAATTATAAACTGGGAAATATACAAATCAGACACATGGTTACAAGAAGACGAAGAAGCATGTTGTATTTCATCTATCGGTATTAGAAGCGCACCTGCAATGAGCCTCATTCGAAAATGGGTATCAGAGCCATGTGACTAGTTTTTGCCACCAAATAATGTTCCTCCCAAAAAGATCTTGGCAGTCAATTATTGAACACTACAAATACGGTACTAGTTTACCTTGAACTACCATATTGTACAACAGATATACAGCTTCATGATTCCATCTGAGAGTTGTCATAGGTGAAAAGGAAATCAACACCATGACAATAGTCTTAGGTTGGCTTGCGGTTCATGGAACTGACTCAATTGAAGTACACCTCCATGGACATTCCTGCTCCTTTCAACACTGTCAATGTATTCCTGTGGGTTTAAGAGCTGATAGACTGCGGGGGTGGGAATGCATTTTGTTTGCTGATGACAAGCTTCTGGAATTGGTAAGATATGTATCCACGAATATAACCCTGTAAATATAAGATGTTAAAATGTTATCCTACTCTTGATCTAGAGGGGGGGGGGGACTAAAATAATTATTCTTGACTTCTTATATAAAATAACTGACTGCAGACTCTACCAGTATCCATATTTCTGACCAAAGCTATTCATAATTTGATGTAAAGGAATTTGATCTCTTCACTCATTGTCACTTCATTTAAGCTAACTTTAAATACCATGTAACATTTGAATTTGGCTTTATGGTTCACTTCATACAACTTTCAACAGAATATAGATGACACTACAACTAAAAACATGATTTACAGGTTTCACGTGTACATTTTCTT